AATATATATATATATATATATATATATATATATATATATATATATATATATATATATTTTAAGAGGACCGATAAGTTTGCCTGAATAAAGTGAAACAAAATAGGAACAAAAACAAGGAGTCAAGTTGTGATTAAAATAAATAATAATAATAAGAATAATATGTTAACTGATAAATAATAATAATAATAATAAATTAATAAAAATATTTTTAAATTTTATATTTTGTCTAAAAATATAAAAATAAATAAATAAATAAATTTTTTAACAACGTCCTTAAATATTAAAAAAAAAAACTTCAAAAATATATTTTGTTTAAGAAATACCTTCGAAATAGTTTCAAAAATAATTTATAAAATGTATATTAAAAAATACTTTGGTCTATATACTCACACTAATAATTGTTAAAATATTTATTTTATAAAGAATAAGAGCATTAATGCTATTTTATAATTATTACGAGTATTTTTTAAATTCATTGCCAATAACTATTTTGAACATTTTAAAAAAATTGAAAGATATTAATGAGGAGTGTTTTTAAAATACTATTAAAAATTAAACGGTATTTTTTAAACAAATTATTAAACAAAGGTAAGGGTATTTTTGAAAATTTCTAATATTATTTAAACTCTTAAAAATTTAAGAATATTTTTTAATATAAAATATAAATTTTATGGGTATTTTTTTTTAATAATAACTAAAAAAAGAAAAAGAAAAAAAGGAAATAAGAAATGATTGCACTTTACTGTTTTATGTGTCCCATTGGATCAGATAAAATTGGAGTTTCCCAAAGGTTGAAAATTTAATTTTGGACGGAACTGGGTTTTCTTATTTTATTATTACTAAAAATCAATATATATATATATATATATATAATGTATTATTGAAAATAAAAATAAAAAATGCAAAAATCTAGAGCCAAGCCAACTGACAGTGAAATCAGTCAGTTTTTGACCTCTCATTTATGGTAAATAAAAATTCACTGTCACCGTCACTAATTCTGGGTTCTGAGTGAGTGACTGTAACGGAGATGTATATTCTCCCATGCAGAAGCCTTGTGGTAATTAATTTCATGATCTGTGTTAGGGTTAAAATTTAATGACCAATAAAGGAAGGACCACGGAAAGTTAAATGCATTAATTAAAAACAGTAGTAACTTAACACAACAACAATCTAATTACAAATTTTGATAAACCCATTTATACAATTAAGCCTAAATTCAATAATCCCTCAAGAAATTACCATCCTCCGTTGTATCCTCCATGGTTCGAACCCAGGGCGGCGGATAAGCCCAGCAGCTCTCGCTTGAATCCATGAGGACAAATTCGTTATTGCCGATGGAGTGGTCGTAGTTGGTGCCTAGATTGGGGAGTTTGATGATCTCTGCGAGGTCGTCGGAATCGTCGGGGGCGGCGGAGGAAGCAGAGTATTGGGAAGGGTCCATGTGGGCGGCTTTAGCGGCAGCGGCTTGGATGTCGCGAGGGGCGAAGGAGGCAGGGCGGGGGAGGGAGTGGGCGAGTTCAGGGAAGTTGAGAATGGCGGAATTGTTGCCTTTGATGGATAAGGCAGCGACGTCGTGGGCTCTAGCGGCCATCTCGGGTGTGGGGAAGGTGCCGAGCCAAATGCGGGATTTCTTACGCGGCTCGCGGATTTCGGACACCCATTTGCCCCAAGCGCGCATTCGGACGCCGCGGTAGAGTGGGTGCTTGCTGGAATCTCGAACGCGCTTGCTGCTGCTGCTGCTGTTGCTGCTGGTGGGGCTGATGGATTGGGTTGGAGGCTCCTCTGTTTGTGACATTGTTGTGCTAAATTTGAGAGTCTCCGCCAGTTTTGGTGCATCATTTCTAAATGATGGGTATTTCTGCTGCTTCTTCTTGCTTCGCCTAGGGCGTGTAGAGTAGGGGAGAGGGGTCCCTTTCGGGTCTCAATTCATTTGTTTTCTTGCTTCTTCTTCCCACAGTCATGATCTCATGCCACCGTTCATTTATCGCTTATCTTCTCCTTGGGAAGCCCCAATTTCACGCTTCTTTTCTCTCCCCTATCCTTTTCGTAGTGTTACGTATCTTTGTCAGTCTTATGTGACTATTTACACACCCGTGTAAAAAATGATTTGTTTGTTCCCCTCTCCAATTGATATGGATGCCCACAAACCCATTATTTCACGATGGCACACAACAACCTTGACCTTGGTCTATCCTATCCTCTTCATTCATTCAAGTTCATCGTTCGTACATATTGTTCACTTTAGCCTGTTATGTATCGTCGTCAACCTTACGATTTTTAAAACATGTCTATTAGAGAGAAGTTTCCACACCCTTATAAAGAATGTTTGGTTCGTTCCCATCTCTAACCCATATAGATCTCACGTCACATCTTATTTCTGACTCAATTTCATGCTCAAAAACCCATTATTTCATGAATGAACACAACCATCTTTACCGGGTAAATCGTGATATTACATGCACAGTGGATACACACATGGCGACTCTATCTTTAGTACTACGACGAAGAGACCGACGACAAAAGAACCCATGTCGTGTTTAAGATAAATTTCGATTCATAGGTGTCTAATAAAACATATCAAATAACAACAACAACGTCATGACATGATCACATTACTTACTTCTCCCTTCTACAAATAGGGTCATTTCAGCATGATTTATTCAATTCTTTCAAGTATTTTTTAGTCATTTTCGCTATTATTAAAACGTGGTCTCGGTATCACAAATTTTTAATTGAATTTAGTAACGTCGTTGTTTAATCAATCATAAATCATCGGTATTATAAAATTAAAGCATATTCCATATAGTTAGATGAGAAGGATGTCTTATACGGCGGGTACGGCCAAATTGGCATATTTGCTTCATCAAGCTTATTTGGTACCCTTTAGGTGAGGTATCCCAAGTCCCAACCCATTTGTTTACTATAAAAAGAATAATAATTATTCATAATTATTTTACAAAGTGTTTCTTTTGTCTTAGAATGCTCTATTTTTAATTTTTTCACCCCAATTTTTGTAATCTATATATAAAATATATCCTCAACATGTCAATATTTTATTTTTTATAGTTTCATTATATCAAAATATTTCACATTATATTTTAAATCTTAGAAAAATAATATTAAAAAAATGTAATAAGAAACCGCCTTAAATAGATATAAATCTGTAGTGTACATGAGTTGAGTTGAAAAAATCCGACCAACTCAAAATTTTTTATGATTCAAATAACTAGAATAGAGTTCACAACCCAACCTAATCTAACTCAACCTTCTATTTTCCGGGTTGAATTGGGTTGTCGGGTTGTTTTTTTAATTATTAAAAAATTATACTTATACCTCATATACATAATAACTAAAATTTCATTAAACTCAAATGATTAATATCAGTTACAAAATATTAAATATTTTAAATTTTAGTAATAATTTAAAAAAAAAAAATTGGGTTGGAACCCTATTTTTTGGTTGGTCATCGGCCAGCTGAGTCCAATTTTGATTTTCTAAAATTCAACCCAACTAAAAAAAATCTAACGAACGTGATCATTTGAGTTGAATAGTTCAAATTGCTAATCCCACGTTAATTGAGGAGGAGAATGAAACACTATTTATAGTCGAAACTTTTGTTTGTCAGACCAGTTTTAAAGTCTTTAACTAAGTTAGAACTGAGAATCAAAAAATGACAATATCGGTTACAGTGGCCAGTGGTTACAATAAAAGTTTATTTAAATTTAAAACTCGAAATCTTATCCTAATGTGTGGGTTGGTCGTATATAAACACACACACCGGTGGAAGGCGGAACAAAATTGCCGGCAGAAGCAGAAGGAGACAGCCACATGGGACGTTCCGGCATGATGTTGATGTTTCCTGGTTCTTCCCCCACTCGCAGCCCTTCCATTTCCCTCTCCATTCATCCCTGCAAATCCAATCTCTCTTCTTCAATGGTGCTCTCTCTCTCTCTCTCTCTCTCTCTCTCTCTATATATATATATATATATATAATAATTAGAAATTAATGTGTTTATGAGCAGCCATTGATTCCGGGGAAGAAACTGAAACAGCAACATGTCCGGGTAGACATAGTTCAGAAGCTAAAAAATGGTTGCATGAAATTGGTGGATGCGTTTGTTGATACCGTGTTTGAATTTTCGGATCAAACCCTTCACCCAAATCAGGTAATTAATTTTGGGTGTTTAATTATTTTGTTGGGTTTCGTAATAAAAGTCCCACGTCTGCTAATTTAAGGATTGGTCATGAGTTTATAATTAACAAATACTCTCTCTATTGGAACCATAGCAAAATCACTCGAACTTATGCTCAAAGTAGATAATATCATACCGTTGTAGAGAGTCGTGTTAATTGTTGGGTATATTAATTATGAACAGAGTAACCTTGCGCCGGTTGAAGAGATCGGAGCGCCTGTTGCTGTGGCCGATATCCAAGGCACACTCCCACAACAATTTCCACAAGGAATCTTCCTAAGAAATGGTAAATTCTTTACTTTATAAATAATCATGGTCCTTTTCTTTAATTTTAATTCCTATAAGTTTTAAAGATTTGAAATTTATTTTTAATGTTAATAAAATTTCATTAATTTCTTCTCCTCGAATAACTTTTATTAAATAATATAAAATTTTTAAATTGAATTTGTTTCAAATGGGTAAGTTCTTTATTTAAATTTTTATTTTTATTAAAAAGAAGGGTAAAACAACTATTTATTTATTTTTTAAATATTTAATTAAAATTTGTATTTTATTTTCAATATATATATATACCTAAAACTGTATTTAAAAAAAAAAAATAGATTCAACTAGACGTATTTTCAATCAATACCAAACAAAACCTTTTTTTTGTTTGAATTCAAATAAGTTCGTAACCCAACCCAAATAGTGTGGGGTTGATTGAGTATTTTGAAAAATTTTAAACACGAATCTACAGGACCAAATCCATTATTTGGAGGACTAAAATGGACCCGATCAATGTTGGGAAGGTCGAGTTTCATATGGGTGGAAGGGGAAGGAATGCTCCACGCCATATACTTCAAGAAGAACATCAATGGCGAATGGCATCTGTATTACAACAATAGATATGTCCAAACTGACTCATTCCAGTTTGAAAAACACGTAAAAAACAGACCATCGTTCCTTCCTGCAGTGGAAGGCGACGCACTCGCCGTTGTGGCTGCCTTTGTTCTCAACTGGGTCTGCCCATTTTCCGTTCACTTTAGGCCTTCCATGTCCACAATCATTAAGACATTGACCAAGTGGCTATTAACTTGACAGCTTAGGTTTGGTGAAGTGAACAAAGACATGAGCAACACCAACGTGATTGAGCACTCTGGCAGGTTTTACTCCGTTGCTGAAAACTCTATGCCCCAAGAGATTGATATTATGAGCTTGCAAAGCTTGGGAGTTTGGGATGTTTGTCGTGCTTGGAATCGACCCTTTACTAGTCATCCTAAGGTTCGTCTTCAAATCTCTTTATTCATGTCTACGGGACCGGACAGTGAAATTTGGCTCATCTATGTTGTGCGAATAGAGCCAACATTCTCCGAGATCAGTTAGTAGAGATCAAGATCGGGTTCTAAAGTTTATTTATTTATTTACTATATATATATATATATTTTGGAGAAACAAAAACAACTTTTGTAGCTATCAAATGGGCCGAAAAGATGTTGACAAACGTGAGTGGATTGATGGAACGAAAATTGGCCATGACCAAACCCATTTTTGGGTATGGTTGCTGATCTTACGTGTCGGAATTATCGAACTTGAACATTCCTCACAACAATAGCAGAAAAGATCGATCATGGCTCGATTTTTTTGCGTTCGTGTTTCAAGTGACCTAATTAAGGTTTTCGAATTATGTTTCAACTCTTTTCCTTCCAAATTCAAGTCATAGTATTGTCTCGTAAAGGAAGATTAGAATATTGCCCCTAATACACAACAAAGAGTCGCCAATGGTACCTGACGTCTATATGTATAAAAGTTGGGTGGGGCAAGGAGTAGAACGAGGTCGAAGACATGGATGGGAATGTAATACCTGTCTCCTAACCCGTTTAGCTGATGAGAAAAAATTTCTTCCCGTTTTATCTTTCATTTCTTTTAGGTCGGGGTCGGGATCGGGGTCGGAGATGCGAATGAGAATGTAATCCCTCTCCATTGCCCCGATTTTGTTAATATTTCTCACTAAAATGGGAATTTCCCGCCCAATTTGAGTGGGTTCTCATAACATTCTTCTTCTCTCCCCATCGCAGAAAGCTCCGGACACCGGCGAACTGGTCATCATGGGCATCGCTCCAACCAAACCCTATATGGAAATTGGAATTATTTCTGGTCAATTTTGATTTCACTACGACGTTCTTCCGCAAACAATTTCTCTATTTCTACTCACTAAACTCTTGTTTTTGTTTATTTAATCGCAGAAGACGGCAAGCGAATGGTTCATAAAGTGGACGTCAAACTGAGTAGAAGTAGCCTCACCCACGAGATCGGCGTTACACGGAGGTAAACTCACCTGCTTTGCCTTTTAATTTCCTCAATAAACAGAGTGTTTTATTGTGTTATGTAATCGGAATTCAGGTTCAATGTGATTTTGGATTACCCCGTAACCATCGATTTGAACCGATTAATCAGAGGCGGATCGTACGTTTTTCTTCCTCTGAATCCAATTCATCTCTGTTTTATAGCGCAAATTAGGTTCCGAATTCTGAAATTCAAACAATCGTTGTGTTGTAGATTGATAAAATTCGAGAAAGAAGGGTACGCTAAAATCGGAGTGATGCCTCGTTATGGAGACGCCGATTCGATTCAATGGTTTGAAGTGAAACCTAACTGCACTATGCATCTATTCAACTGCTTTGAACACCAAAATGAGGTTAATCGTATTACCAAACTCAAGAAAAAGTTTAATATTACTGATTTGAGTTGCTGAAGAACAATATTATTAGGTTGTGGTGTGGGGATGTAGAGCTACTGATTCAATTATACCTGGACCTGAAAAGGGGCTCAACAAATTTGAGTGGTTCTCTCAGAGATTCAAACCAGTTCATGTAACTGATGAACAGAACGCTGAAGATGGGTCGTTGTTGTCTTGTGCTTACGAATGGAGGCTCAACCTCAAAACAGGGGAGGCTCGAGAGAGATTTCTAACTGGAAATCAATTTTCCATGGATTTTCCCTTCATAAACTCAGCCTTCACTGGTTTGAAAAACAGATATGGATACGCTCAGGTTCTTGACTCTGTCGCTAGCTCTAACTCAGGTACTACTTATCAACAAATTTCAATGCTTAGTAGCCACTCAAGAGACTAGACTTTGATGATGTGTGTGTAAGTTTTGACGAAGTAAGAGAAAAATAACAAGGATACTACCTAGATTGGTAAGAGTTTAAGATAAAAGTAAACCATTGCATTGTTATCCCTAACAAGTGGTATAGGAGTTATGTTCTTTATTTAGTCATGTCAATAGAATTCTTGAATGTCGAACAAAAAAAGCTGTGAGTATCGAAGTTGTAGTCATAATGAAGAGCTGTGATAGAGCTCTATTGGATTGACGGTGTGCTCCAGAGAAGAAGTTGACTTGAATAGTGCTGGAATGAATAGATGACTACTTTGTTTGAGGAGATGATTATTGGAGTCGTACGTTGTCTAAATAATGGAAAAATCAAGAGTATATAAGTAAAAACACTATCTTCATTGGTACGAGGCATTGCGGGTTCCCATAAATCAAAGTCATTAGAGCTTATGCTCAAACTTGATAATATCATACTATTGCGGAAATTCGTGCCCTAACATCTATATGGTCTTAAATTGACTCATAAACTTTGAAACTATCTTAGGTAGTTGGTTTGGTTTGGTGTAATAATGTTGTTTGATTTAGGGATGTTTAAATTTGGAGGCCTGGCGAAGCTACATTTTGAAGAGCCTCAAAGTGGTGAAGTTTCATTGGTAATTCCAACTCCCAATTACGAAAAACTCACCATCCTGCATAGTTTGTGTACATCTTTTAACTCCATGAAGGGTCCATTACAGCTAAAAGGTTCAGAAGAAGAGCCAATAAAAGTGGAGTACCATATGCTTGAGAACAACTCCTTTTGCACCGGAGCTTCCTTTGTGCCCAGAGAAGATAGCCTCCAAGAAGATGATGGTTGGATTATCGCCCATGTTCATAATGAGATCACCAATACGTCTCAGGTTAATTCCACTTCTTAACAGTTAACTCATTAATTTTGTTGCTTAATCAAGTTCTTAACCTCTCTCTTTTATATGGGTTCTTTTTTTTTTTTTTTCCGTCCATATCAGGTATATATAGTTGATGCAAAAAGGTTCAGCGACGAGCCAGTAGCCAAAATCACACTGCCACACAGAGTTCCCTATGGATTCCATGGTGCTTTCATGCCAATTTCATTCCACAAATAATGTATTCGTCGGATAAATGGTAACCATCTTGGTTCTGGTCCCTATTCCAGTTGTTTAGGTGCAAGTAGTAATTTATGTGATTACCTCAGTTCGATAACTAGATAGATTAGGATTGTGTTAGTTTTAGTCCCTATTTCAGTTGTTTAGGTGCCTGTAGCAACTTATGTGATCGTGTCAGTTCGAGCATAAATAAGGATCGTGTCAGTTTTGTCCCTATTTCAGTTGTGTAGGTGCAGGTAGCAACTTATGTGATTGTGTCAGTTCAAGCATAACTAGATAGATAAGGATCGTATCAGTTCTGGTCCCTATTTCAGTTGTTTAGGTGCAGGTAGTAAATTATGTGATCGCGTGAGTTCGAGCATAACTAGATAGATAAAAATCGTGTCAGATCCCTATTTCATTTATTTAGAGGCTTAGGAGAGTTACATTTAGAAGAGCCTGAAAGTAACAAATACAAATTTTCTTAGTTAATTCCATTTATAACTATGGAAAGTTACGTCCTTTCTTATTTCCAAGTTGATATATACCAGATAAAAACGACCCTTTCTAGTTCATTAATGGAAAGTTGCAGCAGCAAAAAGAGTGTCTACAAGAGCCATTAAAGGCGGTATCACATGTTAGAGAACAACTCCTTTTGCAGTGGTCAACTTCCTTTGTCCCTAGAGATGATGACCACCAAGAAAAGCTATGGATTCCATGAGGGCTTCCACGCTCATCTCATTCAACAAATAGTTAATGCGTACAATAAATTTTGGGTATAATCATCATAACTCCGGTCCCTATTTCAATTGTTTAGGTGCAAGTAGCAACTTTATAATTATAGCTCTTTAATATATTCATGGTATCATAATTAAATACAATACCAAAGCAACTCCTAGTTTAATATTCAATTTTTTTTTTATCATATACTTTGGGTTCAAAGAGAACAAACATTATATTTGATATTTAACGTAATTTAGGATGAAGTTGAAGGCAATAGAACAAAAGGTCGTGGGGGGGAAAGAGAGGAGATTAAAAAGTAGTAGCCAACACTATTGAGTAGAGCAATGTCTTTTTTCCTTGCCTTCCTCAACAAAATTCTCATTTAAATTATTATAGTATTTATGAACGAGAGGTTAAGTCATTAATGTGACTGGTCACCGCGCTGAATTCCCATGAGGACCTACCCTAAACAAGGTCGAAAATGAGAGAGGAAATGGGGAGAGATTTTTCTCCATTAAGTAAATAGGTCATCCCTACCTCAAATTCCCTCTCCCTACCTCACCTCACTTTTCACATGGAAGATGGGAAGATGAAAAACTAAGTTGTATAAAAATTATATTAAACCCATTATATTTATTAATCTATTTTATTTTTTATTTTTTTAAATGGAATTTGTCCACTAAAAAATTCTTTGAAAGGAGTATTTTTCTAAAAAAATAGAAAAAAAGTTTTTAGAAAAACCAATTCCTTTTGAAAACTAAATAAGAAATTTCACACGGAAAAAATTAGTGTAAGAGGGGAGAAGGGAGATTTTCCCTCCTCACTAAAAATTAATTAAATTAGTGTAAGAGGGGAGAAGGGATATTTTCCCTCTTCACTATAAATTAATTGTCACACCTGCATCAACAATAATAAAGATAAAAAAAAACCATCAATAATTATATAATAAAATACTTTTTCACTCGGGTTAAAAAGAATTATAAGATAGTTAATTTGAAAGAAAGGGACATGAAAAAAAGATATGAAGAGCAATAATGAGCTATAAACTACCAAAAAAGCACATAATTCAATACATTTTATGATTCAAACCAAACCCATTTAAAGAAAACAAAAATCCCCCAAATATATATATATATATATATTAAAATACATATTATATAATGTTCTTGTTAGTTATATACACTCAATGAGGCACATTAAGTGTGACATTAATTACCAAAATTTATTAATCAACTCCTTGTTTGCCGAGCATTAGCCACAGCTCGCGACAGCCACGCACTCCTCGCATCAACTGTTTCTTAAATACACATAACGCTCCTTCCTCCTCCGCCCATTATTCTCTGTCCCATTCCCATTCCCATGCACGCCAACGCCAACGCCAACGCCATGGCCTTCCATGCTAACAACTCCTTACTCAGCATAATGCTGGACGATGAAAAGCAAACGACGATGCCACAAAGAGAACGAGTAATGGGCGAGCAGCCGGGTTCGAAAGCGATGAAGCCGACCCCTCCGCCCAGCCCTGAATCGCCTTGGATGCTGTCTCCTTTACGGACCCCTTCGCCACTTTTGCTTCATCACTGCATAGCGTCGCTTCATCGTGGAGAAGGGAACATATACTCGATCGCTATTTCGAATGGCGTGGTGTTTACTGGCTCTGATAGCTGCCGCGTTCGTGCATGGAAGCAGCCCGATTGCATGGACCGTGGGTACCTCAAGGCTGCTGCGGGCGGCGTCTGGGCCATTGCTGCCTATGGTATATTTCCTTTCAAGCATGCCATTAGTAGCTACTCATTTAATAATTTCATGGACCAAAAGTGAGCTGAATTCACGTGTATAACAGGAAACATGTTGTTCACATCACACAGAGATTCAAGAATCAGAGTATGGAATTTCACAGCTTCACATAACCTGACATCCAAGAAGCTATGTTCACTCCCCAAAAGAACCTCTTTCCTGTTATTCTCCAAAACAGAGACCACCCATCTCCACAAAGACACCATATCCTGCATGGCTTATTACCACGCCCAGGACCTCCTCTACACCGCCTCCCACGACAAAACCGTCAAAGCCTGGCGGATCTCCGACCGAAAATGCGTTGACTCCTTCCTCGCCCATGAGGACAAAGTCAACTCCATAACAGTCAACCAAAATGATGGCTGTCTCTTCACCTGTTCCTCTGATGGAACTGTCAAAATCTGGCGATGTCTATACCGGGAGAACTCCCACACACTCACAATGACACTCAAGTTCCAAACTTCCCCTGTGAATGCTGTCGTTCTCAGCTCCCACTCTGACGGCGAGACGATCCTCTACTCTGGTTCCTCTGATGGGACAATCAACTTTTGGGAAAAGGAGAGGGTTTCTTACAGATATAACCATGGTGGGTTCTTGCAAGGGCATCGATTTGGGGTGCTGTGTTTGGCGGTGGTGGAGAGGCTGGTGTTGAGTGGGTCGGAGGATACGACGGTGAGGATATGGAGGAAGGAGGAGGGGGGTTGTTACCATGAGTGCTTGGCGGTGCTTGATGGGCATAGAGGGCCGGTCAGGTGCCTGGCTGGGAGCTTAGAAATGGATAACATGGATATGAGTTTCTTGGTTTATAGTGGGAGTTTGGATCAGTCGTTTAAGGTCTGGAGAGTGAAGGTAATGTTGGCTGAAGAAGAGAACAATGGTGGGGATTTGAAGATGAACAAGCTTTATGAGATGAGTCCTGTCCTGTCTCCTTCTTGGGTTGAGAAGAAGCTTCAAGCTTCTAACTATTAGAACAATATAATCCTTCATTTCAGTAGATGAAAAATGGTAATTGAAAGGCCCCAATTCATTGTTTGTCAAGAACTTGAAACTACAAGAGGATCTCAAATCTTTGATAGATTCTTGGGTAACAGCCAACAGAAGAACACAATAAACTCTAGAAAGCAGCTTCATGACATTCCTTCAATCTTTTAGGGTCAATCATTTCATGTAGGCACGAAAGTTCATCATATATTGTATCCCCTCAATCCACATCTGTTTTTCTCCTTTTCCATTGCATTCAAACTCTATTGTTCTATCTGTTGTTACTATACCAAAGTAAGCCCTCTGCTCGTCGCCGTCCGATTCCGTTTCCCGCTCGGGCCATGCTGCAACATCACAGTTCACACCTGAGATCACACCTGAAACAGAACATAGTTCATCAATATAGATGCAGAGATGGTTTGTTGTGTGTATGGAGCGTTGCCTTACACTTTTTGTTTTTGGTAAATGTTCCTGCTATGTGCCTGCTTTTCAATTTTGCCACGACCTGTATATAAACACATTCTACTTCTGAGTACTTATTTCCAACAGAAGGTTATCAGAGTGTAAAGAAACTTGCTGCATTGTAATATCAATCACAACTTCAAGTAACTTTTTCAACCATTTCTCGTCTTACCTGCCAATCAGAATTTATGCTGAAAGAAACTTGCTTCCAGTGGAGAACTCCTGCCACCACCATGTTTCGAATCTCAGTGAAATCAACACCAGAATTTGACAATGTGTAACATTATTCAAGCTAAAAATGCGTACTAACTGTATCATTTTGTTTATTTTTGGTTGTACCCAATACCTTTCCTTGTGCGTTTGAGAAGCTCTCCTCCTCTGGAAACAAAGTTAATAGCTATCAAGATGTTTGATTCTTTCCCTTCTTCTTCGACCTTATCCTCTCCCGCCCCAAAGTTTGTGCCTCCCAACCCTTTCTCAAGCCTTGACCTGAGGGTTGCAGCTCCTCTTAGAGCTGCACAAGTAAGCTAATCCTGTAAGTATTTTGTATCTTGCTTCATGAGTTCTGAATATTAGTTGCTTATGAAGTTTTCTTAGCACCTGTAGCTGCTCCTGCTGTTAGGGTCATGATATCTCCATTAGTTCTAGCATTGATGGCAGAGTTAACTACATTCAAGATGTGTTCATGGCTAGCTCCCATTTCCTCTGCCATCTCTATGCAATGAGATGCAACTAAAGCAGCTGCAGAAGCAATTGCTGCTGATGTCTTTGATGGCCATTTCTGATTACCTGATGATGTTTCTTGCGGCACGAGCGTTGCAATAAATGCTGCTACTGAAGCAGCAACACCTGCCACAGATACAGCTGCATGTAACTGAGCATTCTGTGTTCTGATTTCCTGCTTCTTCCTCTCTTTTTGATCCTTCATCCACCTCCCTAATGTTTTGTTGCCTCTCAATATGCTCTTATATAGCTGCAACAGAGAGAAAAAAATTGATGAATATGATAGACTTTGCTTCTTTTCTCCCATGTATGTGTGTGTGTGTTGAAGGAAGAATGCGACATACCCCATTTCCAAGTAGATGCTGATTGGAAAGGAACTCTGGATTCAATGCTTGGTGAAGTAATACTAGATCCTGCTCAAAATAAGAATGTGCAATTCAGAGAATTTGAGGGAGATTCCATACCAAAAAATATCAAGTTTACATAATTTATCTTTCCTCTGGTGTGTGTGTGTGCGCGCGCGCGAGATATTCAAAATAAAATACCTTCATTTCGTCACTTCCTCTTGGGGAAGCAGGAGGACTATCTCCACTGGGTAAGTGTGGACGTAGCTGTAACATTAAGAACATGGCCAGTTTATAAACAGAAAATACATGACTTAAAAAGGGAATTGAAAGCGGTATCTCACTGGTTCCCTCAAGACTGTGGAGTTTGAATCATGTGCTTCAGCACTAAGAAGCCCAACCACTGAATTTTGAACATGACTTGAAGCATTGGCAGTGGAAAGAGCTTTGGAGAGCTCTTTAGCCGAAAGGCTCCAGGATCTGCCAAGAAACTCCATGGACTCAATTGGAGTTTCAGGTAGAACACATGAACCCGGTAACCAACTTGCAGGGCCATTTTCATCAATGTTCTCCAGCCGAGTTGATGAACACTTAACGAAACATGAACTCACTGAAACCAATTCAACAAACACATCAAACAAGTAATCACTGGTTTAGGTTGGCCAAAATAATGATTAGAGTAATGTCAAGAGAAGTGACTATGCATGGCCTTACTTTCCTTATCTGAGTTGAGAGAAACGAGCATGACTTGTTCGTTCAGTCTTCAGAGCTCATTTGGGGTATTTAACAGAGAAAAATGAAATGGGAAGTCACGTTTTGGACCCGAGTTTCAAGATTCTCTCACTTTATTGAGGAAAATGAAAGCCAGAAAGAGGACACGAATTCTATTTACATACTAAAAAATGGCCCCATTTCAAGGTCGATAGTGCATTTGTTTTTGCTGCTTTTTGTTTTCCATTTAAACTGACATCGTCCATAAGCCATCTTCATGATTGCCATGGTTACTCATTTGTCTTTCACAGACTTTATCACAATGTAAAGCAAGAAATATTGTACATGGGTATCTGCATCCTTTGAATTTCAAAACAGAACTAAGAGAGTAGTAAAAAGAATGTCTACCTTATTTTGCTAAAAACTTCAATCTTAAAAGGAGTCCCACCTAATTTAGAGAATGATCATGGATCTATAAATAAAAAATACATCTATATTAGAATGAGACATTGTGAGGAAACTCAAAGCAAAGTTACGAAAGCTTATACTCAAAGTGGACAATATCATGGTCGTGATTCTTAATATTTTCCTTCCATCCCAATTGTTTCTTTATTGTAAACTTTTCTCGAAGATTAACCATACTATTATCCACTCAAAAAACAAAGTAAAGGGTCCAAGGACTTTCGTCGAACAGTTAGCCTGCATTAGCAAAAAAGCGCCAGACCTAGCCTAGAAAAAGAAAATCCCATATCTTTTTCTTATAGGGCATGAACTTTTACTGCAGATAAACATCTAATGATTGACAGATCCACATTTATACCATACACACCAACACAATATACTACTTTAACGAAGCTTTTAAACTGTGCGACATTTAAAAATGGTGAGAAGGGTAGTGGATTGGTGTGCCATACCTTTTGGTTTGTTTGAGAGGCACGGGGAATCGATAATTATGATAATCAGAAGGATAATCCCAAGGATGACGTCTGTGTGTAATTAAAAATGAGAGGAAGTGGTAAAGAGAAAGCAAAAACATGAGACCCACCATGGGAGACGCCATCTTTTCACTTTCCAACTTTCATAATTGGTGCTGTAATGGATAATCATGAAAGCGGCACATATATATATAGTGGCACTATCCCTAGTGCCTCCTGAATCTCAGGCACTCAACAATAAGCATTAGTGTTATTATCGAATCTAACCTGTTTCCCCCCCTTAATCTATTTGAATGCGGTGCCACTCCAATTCATTACTTTTTTTTTTTTTCTTTTTTTTTTTAAGATAATGTAGAAAATGTTTCGAAACCTTTCGATAAAAAAGATTGAGATTAAAATCTTTAATTTTGCTAAAGAGACGACTTAAAGATTTATTAACTTCAGCTAACAAGTTCTTACGACAGGAGAGTAAAATAGTAATTGTGAGATCCTACGTGGATTGAAGAAAAGAATGAAACGTTTTTTTATAAGTGTGTGAAAATCTCTCCCTAATGAACGCGTTTTAAAACTGAGAAGTTCGAAAGGGAAATCTCAAAAAAGATCCTATTTGCTAGTGGTGGGTTTGAGTTGTGATAATTGGTATTAGAGGCAGACATCATATACTAGGTGGGTGTGCTAGCGAGAACACTAGGTCACTGAGAGTGAGTTATGAGATCCCACGTCCTCTCCAATGAAGAATTTTTTTATAGAAGTATAGAAAATTGTTTTAAAACTATGAGACTGACAACTATGCTTAAAAGAACCAAATGTCTATCTTATAAGGGTGTAGAAACCTGTTTTAAGTTCGTGATGTTGACAGTGATACATAACATTAAAATAATAATAATAATAATAATTAATTAATTGAATGTAGGAACAGAATTTGGTATAGGGGAAGCAATTGTGAAAGGCGAAGGGCGATGATGGTAGCAGAAGGCAGAGTGAGCAGGTGAAGCACGAGGATCATTATTACTGAGAGCGAGTAAAGTTTCTTAAAAGTGGTGACCTATGAGGAGGAGGAGAATGAGAGCGATGAAGGATCCATCGAGACAGGCTAGGCCTATCCGATCCAAACTCGGTACCGTCGGTTCGATTTGGTTCGGTTCCTGGTATTGAGAATGGCTTAAAAGTTGAAGTTCACGAAAGGAATGAGAATGGAGTGCGAGTCAAATGGATGTGGAGATCTCTCCCTAATAAACGCGTTTTAAAACAGTGAGACCAACAGTGATACTTACCTAATCAAAGTGAATAATATTTACTAGCAGTGGGCTTTAACGGTTACAAATGGTATTAAAGTCTAATACCGAGCTGTGTGCTAATGAGGATGCTAGGCCCATAAAAGTGTAGGTTGTGAGATCTCACGGTTGGTTGGAGAAGGGAACAAATCATTTCTTGTATGGGTATAGAAACCTCTCCCAGTAGACACATTTTAAAACTACGAAAGTGACGACATACATAACAGGCTAAAGTGGACTTGGACTATTACGAATGATATAACTAGCTGTAGTCAATGTTAAATTGTAACCGTTTAAGTCAAACACTAGTAGATATTGTCTACTTCGATCTGTTATGTATTCATGTTAGTCTCACGTTTTTAACTCGCCTACTAGGGACAAGTTTCTACCGGGAACGTTTCCTTTTCCTCTCTAGCAGATGACTTGCTCCGTTTTAAGCTTATTCCCCTGCCCTCCCTTCCCGGCTCGCTGCTCTTCGACTCCTCGAACCGTCATTGGTTCCAAACCCATCTCTCGAGTCTCGATCTGGACTGCTCTCCCAGATTGACGCACAGTTTAATCGAGAATTTGAACACTGAAACCGGTTCGAACCCAACGACCAAAATCAGTAACCGTCACATTGCAGTGGAGGATGGAATCGCTGTCGGAAATGGAAGACGCGG